CCTGTCACCGTGGTAACGATGTGGTTGCTTGGTTGGCTCTCTGGGAAAGTGAAAGCTCGCTCCTTTATCCTGATGACGGGGAAGTTTCCTCCCGTAACGAAGCGCACCGTCACCGTGGTGGTGTCCGTTTTCGGGTTGGCGCCGCCATCTTTGACCCGGACGGTGAGCGTGACCTCCGAATTTCCGGTGAGCCTCTCGTTGGCGGTGATGGCGCCCCTTACTGGATCTATCTTGAACTTCTCGTAGTTGCGCCCCAATAAGGAGTAGTGCAGCTGGGCGTTGGATCCAGAGTCCTCGTCGGTGACAGTCACGGCAAAAACCAGAGAACCTGAAGCAAAAACAGGAAAACAAGGGCTATAACACACTGCACTGTAAGGGAGAGACACATATTTGGGGAAAAACCCATAAATTCCGCATGACTAACATGATGCATCTTCATGAAATAGATTAATTCAGTAAAACTAAGGTGCAAAGAAAGCATCTCATACTGTTTAATAAAGCTAAAAAATCTAGAAAATATTAGCATTAGAGAATGTTTAGCTAACGTAATATCCCTCTGGGATTATTAAAGTATTTCTGATTCTGATTCTGACTCTAAAAGCTCAGTTCAGTGAGACAACAGTGGCACTTTAACCCTGTAATGCCAAATGTATCATATCTGATTCATACGGTTTCTGAAATGTTTTGCGTCTGACACCTTCTGCATAATTTAATGGTAGAAACTTTGTTCAAAATCCTATTGTACACAATCAGATACACCTGATAACAGGGGGCAGAAGATACACAAAAATAATCTGGACTTATCGCATAGTAATAAATTATTAATATCAAAAATGTATTTCTGTTTTTTCTTTTTACATATTTTGTTAAAAGGCCAAATAAGGAATTCAAACCAAAAAAAAGTAATTTTCTGTTTTGTTTTAGTCTTGGATCAGGCTTTAAAAGGTTAAAACTCCTTTTCCATCTGATATCTCCATGGCGTCTGTCTATTTTATTAATCTTTAAAGGGTTAATTTAATGGTAAAAACTTTGCTCAAAATCCTATTGTTCACAATCAGATACACCTGATAACAGGGGGCAGAAGACTACACAAAGGCCAAATAAGGAATTCAAACAAAAAAAAAGTAATTTTCTGTTTTGTTTTATTCTTGGATCAGGCTTTAAAGGGTTAAAAAATCTAAGTTTGCACAAATTTACTGAATTTAAAAGTACTCTAATGACCAATATGGAGTTTTTTCCATATTTTTTCCATACACCAAAAAAAAGTAATTTTCTGTTTTGTTTTCTTCTTGGATCAGGCTTTAAAGGG